CCTGCTTGTGCTCTCTCTCTGTCAAATAAATAAATAAAATCTTTAAAATAAATAAATAAACAGACCCTCTTCACTTATAAATTTTAAGTAAATAAACCCATATGAGCACTAGGCACTGGGGATACATAGAAAAAGAGACCTCTACATTTAGTAAGGGCTCAATTATTACCTCAATCAGTTTTCCCTCTAGCCCCATGGGGTAGAGGCATTAATCAGACCCTTTTTATAGTTGCCACATGAAGCTCTGAAAGGTTGTTACTTGCTCAAAGCCACACAGCTGTGCTTGAACTCAGAGTCTATCTCAAGGCACATACTCTTAACCCCAAGGCTGGTGCGCCTCTCTTAGTCCCTACCCTCAAGGGACTTCCATTCTGATGGGGAAACAGACATTGGACAAACTGCACAAAGAATAAACAGCACATCAGATGACTGCTGTGAAGGATTTGGTGAAGGGCAGAGACAGGACATGGAGAACGTAAGCACCGGCTGGCTGGGCTGCACGAAAGCTAAGAAGCAGGCAGTAAGTTTGAAGTGCGCACAGAGCGTACTTTTTCCAAGGTGAGACTTTCTGGTGGTCTGAGAGGGACTCTCAGGAGCAAAGGATTGGGGGCTTAGAGCCATGCCCGTGCGCTAACTCTAGGGGGCGCTGTTCGGCGCGGAGCTGGGCACCCGGACGTGGCCGAGACCTTGCTGGGAGGCGGGGCCGCCTCCTGGGGTGGGCCACGCGTGTACACAGGCACACGGACCGCACAGGGACTGCCATGTTCCTGTTTAAAATCATTTTGCTGGCGGCTCAGGACCCAGAACGTTTGACCACCAATGTGGAGGCAGCAGGGGGTGCCTGAGCCCTGGATGGGGCCCTGCCGGGCGTCCCACACACTAGTGTGAGGGAGGGAGGGAGAGAGAGAGAGAGAGAGAGAGAGGCTCCAACCTTGTAGGCACTCCGGAACATTTTGGTGAATGGATGGATGGATAAATGAGAAACACTTCTCCCAGCCCCTCTTTCTTCGAGGGAGGGGTAGACCTCACTCTCCAACTCTGCAGGTTGGAATGTTGCCTGGGGATAGAAAACAAAACAACAAAACATTTTGGTCAGAGGAGAAGGACGCTGAATTGTTATTGCTCAGCAATTTTTACAGCGAAAAAGTTGCTTCCTCGCTTTAGGGAACCCAAAGGATATTATTAGGATTGGGTTGGGGCACCTGGGTGGCTCAGTCGTTAAGCGTCTGCCTTCGGCTCAGGTCATGATCCTGGAGTCCTGGGGAAAGAGCCCCGCATAGGGCTCCCTGCTCAGTGGGGAGTCTGCTTCTCCCTCTCCCACTCCCTCTGCTTGTGTTCTCTCTCTCGCTGTGTCTCTCTCTGTCAAATAAATAAATAAAATCTTGGGGCGCCTGGGTGGCTCAGTCGTTAAGCGTCTGCCTTC